TTAAAAGAATGTATCAAATTTTTTTCTATGAATTATTTTTAGTTTGATGATTTTGTTTTTCTTTTTCTGAGGCTTAACCCTCAATCTGTCTCGAGGCTTTTGCTTTTTGCCTTGCTAAGACAAAGCGCCTCATTTTTCTGATTTCGAATTTTTTAACTTTGAAATTTTTATTAGATGCGTTTTTAGTGTATTGTGAGTTTAAATATCTGGAGGAATGAAATTAAGTGATTATATGAATATTTAAATTATTATTAAAGCATTAAATTGTTTTGATTATTTTTTATGAGCAGTGATTAGATATTTATAACTTGGTGTTTATATGCGATTAGATTGCAGAAATTTGTCTCTACTCGATTACAAGGAATATGCTATTTTTTGGGAGTTGCGTTCATGTGATTTTTTTTTGTCATTGCATGACACGTGTGAGTAATGCTCCTTTGAGAATTATTTTATTTAGCAATCTAGAGGTATGTTACATTATTCTAAATGAGTCCATATTGAATGATTATAGCATTATTTGTTCATTTTATCAATGCACAAATTAAAATAATTTTTGTTGTATAAAAGAACTTTCATGTTGTTGTTTGTGTAAGCATATCTTTATTTTTAGAAATGATGAAATGAGTGATAGATGTATACTCATTGATTTTATTACGGTCAAATATGATATTTGTGCATTCTTTATATTTGGCGTCATTCTAGGTATAAGCTTAATAATTGATGGATGCATTATACTATAATTTTACAATATAAAAGATATCTGAATCATGCTAAATTAGATATTATTGTAGTAATAACCGGTATTATGCTTTATGTCTTGTAAATGTCTGCATATTAAATTATTAGTTACACATCTACTAAGCTTGATTATAAATGATTGTAAAGGCTAATTGTACTTTTGATGACTTTTTGATAGTATACTATATTTTGTTATTATTATTATGGCTTGATTAGCCATAAAAGCAGGTGTTTTAGGATGTGATTTTTTTCCTTATTTTATATTCTTTGATACACATGAGGAGTTTAACTAGAAAAGTGCTAGTTTTATTTTTCTTAACCGATTTAGGATCAAGTACGAACTAATTATGTGCTTTTAATGGGCATGTGTAATGAACTTATGATATTTTTGAGATTTTCATGTGATTGCTTCATACGATGTGACATTTTTAAATTATTTTTAGATATAATATTTTATTTCCCAGATTATCAAAACGTATAATTTCTCTGTGTTCTAGAATGCCATTGAGCACCCATGAGATTAATCACTAAGAGCAGGAAGAATGTCTTAGTCATGCAGTGTAAAATCATGGTGTATTATTTGAATTGTTTTGATCTGAAGTGAGCCGGTGCCTTTTTGTATAACTCTTTGATTTGGGTAAGTGGCTGACTTGGGCCAAATACCAGTCTATAATACTTATGATGACTTTGTCAAAATAATTTTGACTTGATAGTTTATATTATCTCTTGTAACTGTATTAAGTAGGTGTGACTTGGTGTTTTTTGTGCTGTGATGCTTTGCTTGTGTAAGAGGTAGTAGTAAAGATGATTTTATTAATTGCTCTTATGACTGGCTTGTTTGCTAGGTGGCATTATTCTTTCACCATGTGATCTTGATATTAGATATGATTGGTTGTTGAATAGATTGTTCTTTCTATAATTTTACATTTGTTTATTTATTTGAGTATACGAGACGTGTGTAGAATCTAATTTTCGAACTTATGTTTGAATCTTAATGTTGATGTTGTTGTAAGGTGTGTACTTTAGAACTTAGGCTTGTGCATAAGATTTGTGTGCTTGAATTGAAATTTGATGGCAAAATTCTTTTAAAGTGGAGAGTGAGACTTTCAAGTGGAGGTCATGCACCGAGCGATACCTGCATTTAGGACATGTTATGTGAAGGTGATGAAGGGGTTCTTGGATCTGCAGTTATCATCTTTTTGATGGCATCTGACTCCCATCCTTTTCTACACCATAGTCTTCTTTTTATCGCTTGAGGAGACTAGGTAACTTCCAACACTTAATTTTAGGCCCCATTTGGGATCACATTTGATTTTTGATTTTTTGTATTGTTTATGTTTTGATTTAAAACAAAATATATTTGTTACGATATGCTATGTTGTTTTTAATAACACTGGAAATAACTTTTAATTGTTTTGTGCGTTGTTAAAATAAAAAATGCACTAAAAATATAATTTTAAAATAAAACAATAATAATAATAATAATAAAACTGATCTCAAACATGCTCTTAGTTTTTGGTAAATCTTGGCTATGTTGTAAAGTGATTTTTGGGAGGTTTATTGAGAACTAATTGAGAAGATTTTTGAGTCAGATTTTTTAACCTTGATTTATTTGTACCCTTCTTGAGAAAATTATGAAAACATTATCTTGTATATATTTATATATGCATTTTGAAAAATATATTTTTGCAACAAAATAATTTTTCACAGTAAAATAATTTTTCACAGTATTAATGTCCTCTTATAAAATTTACTGATAAGAAAACATTAGCAATATACTTCTAATTATAATACTTTCAATCAAAGATGGAGGTATATCATTTTGGCTCTAATGTCTATCTAATTCATTCCACATATTGCCTGATTGATAGATCGAATGCGTTATGCGAATGAGACTTTATACAACTAAATAAATAACTAGGTTATTAGTGTTTTGAAAAAGAATGTTTAATTGATATTTGTGATTATTTAATGATGCAAGGTATAATACTTTTAATATATAATTGATTTAGTTTTTCTTGAATTTAGGGTTTGCGGAGTATCATGTGTTGGGGTGAGAAAAGTAACGTTATGATTGGTATCAAGGACTATTTATAATTTGCGTCAGACATGTTATTTCTTACTAAGTAAGAGATAAACACACCATTCTTTGTTAGGGGCGTATTCCCTATTACTTCTTGGTGTGTTTTTACTATTTATAAATTTTTATGGAATGTGTTTATTGAGTGACTATATTCTACACTTTCAAGTTGATATAATGGGATTGTTAGTTTTATCATGATTTATTGCTGCACAAACTTCCATGCATTCAGTTGTGCTGAATATTACTATATTCAACTTTGCATTACTTCTGTCAAATGCAAAGTTTATGTTTTATATATATACATAAAATAATTCATTGCTAACAATACTTCTGAAAAAGTTTGGCCTGTAATGTATAAAATTTGTATGATTATTCTAGTAACATGTATGTCGGTATTGAGTCTTTTAAGATGTTGGCTAGCCATACCGATGAGTCTATTGGGGTTTACCTTTTTCGGTTTCAGGGTGCATAGTAAACCAACTATAAATGTAGATATATATAGTTATATATTAAATATAGATTACTATATGATTAAAAAGTCATTTATTAAATATACATATGTGATGAATGTATGTGAATATGTTGGCATGTGGACACAACAACCATTTGTTTATGTAGGTTCTTTTTTTCTTCTATTGTTTGTTGAGCATCATCAGATAAAATTTCACCTAGTAAAATCTCATCTTTTGCATATTGTTTGGAACTTCTATAATATAATAAATATATTTTACATATCCATTGCTTTGTTCATATTATGCCATGTGCCTTGCCCTTTATATTTGGCACAGTGGGATTTCAACTACTGAGTTTGTTTCTGACGAACTCACACATTAAATTTTTGAATTTCAAGTTGCTAACTATGTGTCAAGTAGAGGAGCTTTTTATACTTGTGCGTGGATAAATATTATTATAATCCTATTTAGATTGATTTGAAATTTTTCTAAATTATCAGCTCACATGCTCTTGTTGGGTTTTCCACTAGTTTTTTCCAAGCCTGGCAGGTGGGTGTGACATTTGTCCCCCCACCCTCAAAACTCTTTACGAGGCATTTCTAATTATTGCTGATAGTAAATCTTGAATTCAGCAATGTTTAACAAATTCTAGCTCAAATCTGGGGTATATATAACCCTGGTAAAACTGGGATTTATGAAATTTACTTTAAAATATTTATTAAATCTCTTTAAATCCCTCAGCGTGCAATCAAATGGTTTTACCTTTAGAACTTACTAAATCCTTTTAAATCCAGCTTGTATATGATTTATCAAAGACAAAATTTGTATACTTCTGCCTTTCAGCCAATAGAATCTGTAATTTAGAGTGGTGTGTACCGTGTTAGAAGCATAGTTTGTACTGAAGAAAGTCATTATGAAATGAGACTAAGTCAAGTGCCTATATGGAAGCTTATGCTGTGAAATTCATATGGGGTAGCTTTTATTGATTATATTATTGACCTTCATGAATTTTTGCATATGGTTCACGGATCTTATATTTGAATGAAATTTATGTTCACGTTAAAAGCCTTATATTTAAGCTAAAGTTTGTTTCAACAACCTTATTCTGATAAAATCTTTTATACAGGTCGGAAATATTTTCTGACGAACAGTTACGCCTGGATTAAAGCCTTTATACTTGTTAAAAACATATGTTTTGAGTGAAAAAAACATCTGATAATTAGTTACAATCATTTTAGTTTTATTTTTAGTGTATGCCAATTTGTGTGGTACAACATTACACTTTGAGGGAAGCTAATAGTTTATGTTTTTAGAATTTATCAACTCTTGTATTTGATACTAGGTCAACTGTCCAGGATTTTTGACACGGTGCTCACATATTTTTAATTTACATTTAATATTTCCAATAGCTCTCTTCTATTTTTCGGTTTCGTATAAGTTAGCTTTATCATATGCAATTAGATTGAAAACTCAAAATTTTCTTTGCTACGTTATAGTGAAGTGGTTTTGCTCTTAAGATTTGTTTTTGGTGGATTTGATTTTTCTTTTTTTTTTCGTTTTCATACACAGGCGATATTTGTGAGATTATGTGCATTGCTGTTAAACTTTTTTAGTCCTTATTCTTTAGGCTTTTATTTTTACATCATTTTACTAGAATTTGACTATTGTCCTTGATTTATGGAGGGTTTGAGTCATTGATGTACTTTTTCTTTTCCTTCCACTGGCAGACATACTTGGGAATTCCAATATTTCGCTTTTATTTTAAATGCACAAAATGTTCAGCTGAGCTCACTATAAAGACAGATCCTCAAAATTCAGATTATGTCGTTGAATCTGGGGCTTCCCGGAATTTTGAACCTTGGCGTGGAGAGGAAGAGGTGAGAATGGTTACATTTTTATAGCATCTTTGCTTACTTCATTTGCTTGTTATTTCTACCCTAATTGCATCTTTCTTTTTTTGTTTAGGCTATGGAAAACGAGAAAAAAAGGAGAGAGACGGAAGAGTTAGGTGATGCCATGAAGTCTTTGGAGAATAGAGCGATAGATTCGAAGCAAGACATGGACATACTTTCTGCACTAGAAGAAATGAGATCAATGAAGGTAAATTGTAGCTCATAATGCATCTTTCCTTTAATGATTTTTCTACTATTTTAGGAGGACATTAGTCCGAAGTCATTTTTATCTCCTCTATTTTATGTAAACAGTCTAGAAAATAATATGAAATAGATAATTTCTTTATTCTCTTTATTATTTATTTAGTAGCATAAACTGTTTCTTTTCAGTCAAGGCATGCAACAGTGAGTTATGATGTGATGCTGGAGACCTTGAAGAGATCAGCATATGAAAAGGTATCTTTTCAACATATTTTCTTCTTTTTTTTATATGTTTCTTTTATTAGTATTTGATTTTAGCTATAAAACTTAAAGTTTTCCCCATGCAATTGACCTGTAAATTATGTATTAGAAATAAGTTTGTATTTCATTTGATCTGTAGTTTATGCATGCCATAAAAATATAATCTTGCTTTTGCCTTTTTGTGTTATATAATGCAACATACTTGATGTGCACGGTGCTAAAATTAATTGTCGAATGAAGTACATTATTATGGATTCAAATCTATCAAATGCCACCTTTAAGTGTTTTTTTTTTCCGTGCACACGAGACAATTTTTTTTTTTTTTGTAAAGCAAAATGAAATTTTAACCGCAAGAATTTACAAAATCACTTTAAAATTTATTAATGCTTGTAGAAGTGGCTTTTTTAGTGTTGGATAGATTAAGATCATCATTCTTTTAAAATAACTATTTTAATTGTTCCAAAATTAGCAAAATTTTTCTGGGCAAGATTTGAAACTTTGATCTCTTGAAAGGAGACTAAAATCCACTCCACTAAAGGGCTATTGTTTGAAAAAATTAACACCATATGACTATCTCTTTGATCTTTCAACAATCATTGGCTACATTTGGTGCCACTTTACAAAAAAAATTGATGATTTAAGGATGAAGCCCTCTTAGTACTTTCTACTTAGTTATGCTTAATAGCTTTGATAGCTTAGTGTAATATTTCAAGATGCTCTGAAAATGATATTAGGTCTCGATCAATTTAGAAATATTTCAAAACAAATTTAAGAGTGTGCAACCTTTTTATTTAATTGTTATTATTATATTTTAAAGGTCAATTTACATACATACCACACAATTCTTATGAATTTACATATTTAACACTTAAAACTTTCATATTTACATTTTTAACACTTTCTATCTTAAATGTATGCTTGAAAAGGTTTTTTTAATTTTAAAAAGTAAATGATAGTGGTATTTTTCATTTGATATTAAATTTTTTAGTGCTCTGCATGTATATATGTAACTTTTGGTGTTTGATATGTAAATTTATAAAGTGCGGTATGTATGAAAATTCCTCTATTTTTAAACTGAATAAAATTGCTAAACTATCATAGCTTGTTAAAATTTTCAAATTATAGCAACTGCATTCAAGAGTTGAATGTTAAATCAAGGAGCACTCCTTCAAATTAGCATCATAAACAAGCAATGGCATATATGAATGGCCCAGATCATGTAATTTATGCTAATGTTGTAACTGCTGAAAGCAGATATGAATAGCCGTAGCTCTGACACCATGTTGAAATCCATTTTTTTTTTTTTCTCGCTCTAATCCATACATTACTCTTTGCCACATTTATATAATACTGAAATTAAACAAAATAGGAATCCCTCCAAAATAAGAAAAGCAGAAAAAAAAAAGAGATATCTAATAAAAAAAATAATTAGTGAAATATATTTTGAGGAAAGGAAATAAATTCCTTCTTAATACGGATTGACCCTTTTCAATACAAACATTACAGCTTTAGAACGCAAAATATAGAGAACACATTGAATGCAGAGAATAATGATTTTGTTACTAACAAGCAGCTTATTGAAATGGGAACATAACTCACTAGAATTATTGAAGGATCATTGGAACAAATTCCTAAAGCTATTTCAAGAGTTGAAATTTCTGTAGTCACTTTATGCTCTATTAACCAAAAGGTGTATAGGAAGGCTAGTTGAACTACTTTTTATTTATCGGACATGTATGAGAAGTGTGGTTACTTCTGTTTGTATATTTCTTTCTCCCTTGCTAATTTATTGTGTAGGCAATCTTTATTATTTAATATTTTTGTATCACCTTAGTGGTACTTTGGCAGGTGAGTATGCTGATTTTAGTGTATTGTGTTCAATATTTGTTTAGACATTCATCCTTTCACAAGCCTTCAGGAAAAGTTATTTCTTCAGAATTGCAAGTTTTCTTTAAATCTTTCGTCTTTGTAGGATCTACATTTACTACTGTCAAATAACTCAAAAACTTATACAAGGCTATGAAACCATCTTGCACTTGGATATTTCTTTCTCTATCACTGGCTATGCAATTAGCCATGTTTGGTCAATTACTATTTCATTTGCTCAAATTTTATTACATATAATACCATTTTTGTTACGATGCTTTGTGGTGTAATATGAGATTTAGATTATTGAATTGTGCTCTTCGATTGGTGATTAACCATAAGAAGAAGCTGTGGCGACGCACTTTTGTGTGAAACATGTTTTGAATCTTCGGTTGCAATGTTTATGTTTTTGCTTAAGCTTTCTAACAGATGCTTTGTTATGCCAGGAGAAAAAGATTATGGAAGAACTGGATGCAGCAGATGAGGAAATTATTAAATCAATAGCTTTTCATGTAATGATTTTTCTTTGAATTATACTTTTTGATGTTACAATTTTTTTGGTCAATAGCTAGTTGTATAAACTTTTGTTTGGTTCGCTCATTGTAACAATATCTTTTTGCAGGGTTCAAAAGACTTTGTTAGGCGAATAAATGATGACGAGGATGATGATATGGATGATGATTTACCTAGCTTGCCTTCCGGTGGAGTATCAGAGCTCAACTTGAAGGTATTGAATTCCTTCAAGTTCTTGATTTTTATGTTTATACTTTTTTATGTCCGACTTTTCAAAAATGTGCTAGTTCAAGCCTATTTTTACATGACCTGGTATAACCGGGTATTCTGATTGGACTCGTTGATTTAGCATGTTTATATGCTGTGCTTGTCCCTTTTATGTTTACATACTAGACTTGGCTCATTTCTCCGAATGTTTTTCTTTTAAGCTGACCTGTGATTGACCTTTTGAAATCTGGTAAGGTTAGGGGACAGGTAAGGGGGCTTATGAATTTAGAAGTGTTAAATTGGGTTTGCGGGTCGGGTTTGGGACTGACTCAAAACTTCCGTACCGAAACTAATTGGACCGAACCCAACCCTTTATTAAATGGGTCGGAAAGTCTAACCAAATCCGAACCACACTCAAATCGCTGACTCGAATCTGACCAGTATAACCCATTTAACATAAGGTATAACAACTATTGGTATTGAATTTGGGTTAATTTTGAGTCAATATAGGGTCAATTTTGATTGGTGGGTTGATTTTGGGTTAGTTTAGGGTCAATTCTCAGTTGGCAGATTCTCAAACCCGACCTGAAAAATTATACGGGTTATGATTTGTAACCCAAACTTAACATGGAAATTATTGGAGTCAACTTGAACCCGGATTGCTTTGAGCAGAGTTTAGATCGGGTTCGCTTGTAGGGTCAATTTTTTACACCCTTAATGTAGATAAACACTAGCTTTGTTTATACCCCGACCTTATGAAATGACGACTCTGGTTTGCAATCTCCTCATGGGGGCTTCATCTCTGCATCAGCCCCTGCAGGTACTCCTGTCACTCAAGGACCTGAAGCAACAAAGCCCCCTTACCATTCGTGCTGCTGCCTTAACTTACCACCCAGCTCCTGTGTCCCTTTGCTGCTCCTGTTGAAAGCAATTTTTCTATTCCACTTTTTCTCACCTAAGCTATTGAATTTTTGTATTCCACTTTTTTTCACCTAAGCTATTGCTCGTCTTATTGGCCCCCAATTCTCTATGAATCGCTGCACCTAAGCCTCACTAGCCTGATAATGAAACTTTGGTATAAAATTACTTCCTTATGGTCGACCCAGCCAATCAAGGTATTCCAAAGTGAGGCTAACGTGGCCAGCAAAACCTTAATTTTTGAGAGACCCAGATGAAGCCCTCCACTTCCTTGCAAGTGGAATAAGAAGGGTCTCTCTGTGTATTTGTTTGTTATTTCTTTTATGCTAGTGACCTCATCATCAATTTGTCCCCATGATGTGCAGTTTTAGGCTTTTATTATAGTTATCTTTTTTCAAAAAATTAAATAGAAACGTGCATTTAGAAATTCCTAATAATTATGTGCTTTGACTTCGATCATTTTCTTGATTTTTTTGGGAATAATGCCATTGATAGAATGTTCTTTTCTTGGTTTCAAAAACTAGACCTGGCTTGCTTGGTTTGACATGTTCAATTGTGAAGTTGTCATCCGTTCATTCCAGTCCCAAATTCATTCTTGGATATAATGGTTAGAGCTAGTCTTAACCGGTAGTTGAATCGGGGAATCAGTTAATTGGCCGGGATTTTGATGTACAACCCTGACATGATATTGCCAAATTTATGGTCTTTTGTTTTTGATTAGATGGCTAGAAATAAAATGTCCGGATTAAATAAAAAAAAGTAAAATTTATATGCCCCAATTTATAAACTCTTTACAATTGAATATGTTAAAATTATTGCAAGAAGTTTTTGAATTTTTTTTTTATAATTTTAGTTGTTTTTGACATTCCAATCTAGTGGTCTTACTCTAGATATTTTTGCGAGCATTTATATAAAATTGTAACTATATATAAACATAATGAAAATAATGAAAATATCATATCTCAAAATTTAGATTTAAATAATGTTAAAAAAATCATCCTTTCTTAATTATTATTACTATGCCATTTAAATCATATTAAAATAATTATAACTTTTGGATGAAGCTCTCTTTCCCCTTCAATGCCTATTTGGTTTTCAAAGCCTTGGTTCCTTTTGCTCATCTCACGATTATTACTATTTCAAGCATTTTGTTAGTTTTCATTTTAATCATTTGTTAATGGAGACATTTTGCATGGTAAGTTAATGCTGCTCTAAATATTGAAGCTCATTGTTATTTTGACCTTCTACTGCAGAGAAAAGGCATTGTTGAAGCTTCTGATAATCCTACTGATGTTTTGTCTAAAGCTAGCATTCCCAACGATTCAAAAGGTACAATTATTAACAAACATCAATTCTAAGTGGTCATTTGAGATGACTTTTTCTATTTATTTTTATTTATATTTTTATATGTAGAAATTTTTTTTTTTGTATTTTAAATAAGATTTTACTTTTATTGAATTTTGCATTAGAGGTGATGGTTTCTGACCACATTGTAGACTAGTAGCTTGGATTATTTTCATCTAAGCAACAACGACAACAAAGTCTTTATCCCACTAAGTGGGGTCAGCTGCATGAATTTATTTTCTCTATTGTTGTCCTATTGAGCGGTATATTTTCATTTAATTCTAATAAATTAAGATAAATTTTTATACAACATGTCCAAGCTTTTTTAGTTTCTCTACCTTTCGTACCAAAAGTCAAATCTAAAACATTTACTCTCCTAAAATGATGATCAAGCAAAGAGAATGCATTCATTTTTGGAAGATTTACACTTGTACAACTTAATCTTATGTATCTACATATCTAACACCTGAAATTTTAATTTTTACATTTATGCCGCCTTACCTACGGAGGAAAAAGCGACTCTTGAAAAAATAAAAATGGTGATACTTTTGATGCGATATGAAGGATTTTAGCAGTATAATTATAAAAAGTAAAATTTAGATGTTAGGTAAGCAAATACATAAGAATTGGATGGTACGCATGTAAGTGCCCTTCTTTTTTGTTTTTTTTAATCTTTATTGCCAATGTTTTCATCCAAAATTTAGGTAGCTCATCAGTTTCCATCAAGCCTAAATTTATGTTGAAGCCTCGATCTTCCCCAATCATTCAAGCCAAGAAACAATGTGTTGAGTTTAAGGAGACTGCTAAGATCGAAATTGCGAACAGACAATCAGACGATGGAGTTGAAGACGGGCAAAAGTCGACCGAAGGTGTCGTGACGACCAATATCCTTCAATCACTTTTCCAAAACTATGGAAGTGATGAGAGTGAATGATTCCTCCTGGAGGGAAAGCATTATTTCGAGTTGGAGCACAGTAGCTCTGTGATTGGGCTCACAATGTTCTACTTCGAGTTGAGGTTATTGCAATCATTTTAATTTGAGTTTATTTAGTTCAGATGATCAGTAGAGTGCAGGAATTATATATATATATATATATATTTTTTGTTGCTTGAAATGGGCCTTGATTCTAAAAAGCATGAGAGTTTTAGAGGCTGTTTTGTTTGTTGAAAAAGAGATGCGGTATAAATGTAAATTCAGTATAAATAGAATTCGGTGTAATTGAAATGTGATTTATTTGAAATATTTTGATGTTTTTCGGTTTGATGTAAAGTAAATGCAAGAATTTATATTTTTGTATTTAGTTTGATGAAAAAAATGAAATCAATTTAAAGCATTCTTGATCAGTTTGCAGTGTATTTGAAAATTGTTTAAGTTTAATGCTTACAGATTACACCGGTTTTAATCTGCAGGGAAGGTTTCAAATTCACAAAAAAATTTACACTCCATTCCGTTTTCATCCAACCACTCATGCAATGAATCAAATAGATGTTTTTTGAGTGATGAATACATTCTCATTGCTTGCCTTGTGATGGATTTGAATTTATGTACATTATTTCTTATTAATGTGATATCTAATTATACAGCTCTCAATATCAACTTGGTGGGCAAATTCATCTCTCATAGTGGAATTTGATAAAAATGAAAAGTATGAGTTGAGGTTTATTGTGCATTTTGATATTTGTTTTAGAATTTGAAAATTGGATGAAAAAAGTGATAGTTTTGTGAGTAGCAATGTTTTAATTGTCTCTTTTAAGTAATATGTTGGAGCCTTGGAGATTCATTTGACAATAATATGTTTACCAAGCACAATTGAATGCATGATTTAAGGATGTGCACTAAAAAATGGTTGTTATATATGTAAGTATCATGTTATTGTTGCGTGCCAGAAAATTTACGGTGATGAGAGTGACAGTTTAATGTTATATCATTGAACGAAGATTCAACGCATGCATAGATAATAGAGAAATAACAGAAGAAGATATCACAATTTAATAAGTGAAAAAAATCATATAAAGGAAAAAAAAACCATGGAGTGTAGTTTAATCAAAATAATTCACTATGTAATTATGAGTACAGAAGGTCTTTTTTTTTTTCTAAATTGAGGAAAATGTAAGTACAAAGTTGATAATTATAAATGCAATATAAAAGTTCATTTTTTTTCTAAATCGAAGAAAATGTAAGTACAAAGTTGATAATTATAAATGCATAATAGTATTGCTGCTTTAATAGCCTAATTGGGCTATAATAAATATAGTTCTTGTTAGTAATAATGATATTGGGCCACTGAGGTTGGAGTTAATTGCTACAAAAAGAGTGATTTACTACAAATATTGTAGTTGATAGTTGTAATCACGCTAATTCGTCACAGATGTTGCAGTTGAAAGTTTTAGTAACAACTAGTCACATAAGTCTTAATTGGTTGAAAATGTCGTTGTTGGTATTTGCGGTGACTGTTAGTCACACATGCCGTAGTTGCCCGCATAGGCCGTAGTTGGTATTTCGGTAGTAATTAGCCACATAGGCTAAGCTGCGATGATAGTTAACCACATAAGCTATAATTGGTAACTGCGGTAGTAGTTAACCACATGGGATATAGTTAGAAGTTGTAGTGGTATGTAACCACATAAATCATAGTTGATCATATAAGACGTAGTTGGTAGTTGTGATAACATTAGTTGGCCATTGAGACAGTTGTGAGGTGCTGTAATAGAAATTTGTCATATAAGTCGTAACTGGTGTTACACTGGTTGGTGGCCTCTACCCTTTGCTCGGGTTTATTATTTTAGACCATAAACATCAATTTTTGGTATACAACGCTATGATAAACTTCAGGAAATTGAATAAATACGTTGTATTTTGAATATGGTAGCTGTAAGCAGTTGTCGTTAAGATTTATCGTCGAAATTTTAATACAACATAATTCGTTAAACTATTTTTGGGATTGTTCATTGACTTGTATTTGGGATACTTAATTATTCTATATTTTGGATACTTCGATGCCTAATATTCGTGTTACATCATGTTCGGGGTACTTCATTATACCGTGTAAGGGGGACTTCGTTACACCGCGTTTAGAGTTATTCATTACCCCGCATTCGGGGTGCTTCGTTACATCGCGTTCGGGGTGCTTCATTACACTGTATTTGTGGTACTTCTTAACACCGCATTCGGGGCATTTTGTAACATTATGTTCGGGGTATTTCGTTTGTCATCAATGACGTTGTTATTCTTCAAGGTATTTCATTACTTTGCAATGTGCGTTGTTGTTTCGCATGGTACTTCATTATTTCTTAAATTGCATCTTTACTCCTTAGGTTATTTCGTTAGTCCACAAAATATATAATTACTCCGCATGGTACTTTGTTAATCCGAAAGGTCCACCAACAATAGTAAAGGACGATCAACAATTACAAAGATAATGAGTTATCACTGGATTTTAAGTCCATAACAACAATATAAATGGGTTCATTTTTCTCATTTCTCTCATTTTCATGTGAAGAGATGATGTCTTTTTATAAGCCATGGAGAAAAACATTTTCATCTTTTGGCAAACACCTGCATGATCAGATGACTCATATTGATTTCCTTTGCTTATAATAGATTTTTTTGATGATTTAATTGTTTTATTACTCTCAAAATTAGGTGATATTGGGCTCATTGTATTCCTCTAGTTGAGACACAAGAATTGACTATAAACATGTAAAATTTGGTGTACATTAATCTGCCAATTAACTATCCGAAGTCTCCAAATCTAGTTACATGGCAAGATCCAACATTGATTGGATTTAGATTAGACAAATTTTGGTACCATTAGATTCGTCATGTAGAGACACTCAATTTGACTATAAACTTATCAAAATAGTAGTTCCGGATGATCTGTAATTTGAAT